AAACTAACTAGTCGTCTGCAGAGGGTTCAGAACACTGCAGCACGGCTAGTTACTCGTACTCGAAAGAGAGAGCACATCACACCTGCGCTTTATTCGTTGCACTGGTTACCTGTACGATACAGGTCGCAGTACAAAATTCTGGTATACACATACAAGGCACTGAATGGAACAGCTCCTCAGTACCTACAGGAACTTGTTACCCTGTATCAGCCGTCAAGATCACTGCGGTCGGAGTCAGAATCTTTGTTGTGTGTCCCAAAATCTCGTACTGTGACCTACGGAAACAGATGCTTTGGGAGGGTTTCGGCTACGTTGTGGAATAGCTTACCATCTGCTATTAGGAAGTCGAATACCCTGGCCAAGTTCAAGAGGGACATAAAGACTCACCTCTTCACGTCTGCATTTTAGAATATTTGCAAAGACGTCATGTAAATACCACCCTTTTATTTGTTCAATTATGTGCACATTGCTTGTTAAATGTATGAAAGTGATTGCAAGCCTTTGTTGTTTGTTTTCACAATTATAACCATTACTATTATCTATATGTTGTAAAGCGCCTTAGAGTAATTTTACAAATTATATAGGGCGCTAGATAAATGCTGTATATTATTATTATGATTATTATAGATTTTGGTCCATAGATTTTGTCATCCGCTGTGATATTAATGTTAAACATCACATGACAAATGTTTGCAGCTTAATAGAACAGCCTAAATTAAATCATTTAATGATCTAGGTCCTGTTGTCTCTAACTTGTCAATGCCATATCAGAATAAGTTTTTATATGGTTGTTGTTTCACCAAAATAAAAAAATTGAGAAATTTCCTTCCAAGATGGGCATGTACTTTTTGACATTCAATATTTGGACCTCAGTCTTAGAGAGTTTCACGTTTCACCGACCCAGTAGTATTCACTTCATACAGATTTCAAAAGTTTTGTAATATTTTTGTGCGATAATTCTACCCTAATGTGTTTGTTTCCAGAAATTCCCGTGTGGAGTTGCCACAAGTGTCTGGTGACCCTGCGGTACTGCCACCCCCATATATTGTCAGGACCTTGTTGTTACTGGGGCGATCACAGGGAACTATCAACATGGCTGACAAAGAGGTACTTGCTGGTTACATGATATACATTCAGTACTGTGTAAAAGAGAAAACCTGAGCTCCATTAATTATTTGTAAAATTTAATCAAATATTTGTCTACATAGATGCTTTGAAAAAGACTGCTGCAGTGTAATGAAACTGTTTGCATGTAACATCTTTTATTACATACTTACTAATAGATAATAGATACAGGTTTTTAGCTCACCTGGTCCAAAGGACCATGGTGAGCTTATGCCATACCGCAGCGTCCGGTGTCCGTCCGTTCGTCCGTCAACTTTTCCTTTAAAACGCTACTAGTCCTGAACGGCCAAGTAGATTTTGACTAAATTTAGTCTGAAGCATCCTTAGGCCAAGGGGACTCCATTTTGTATAAATGGTGGGTGTGGCCCCCTTGGGACAGATGGGCGGGTACGATTAGGGAAAATAGGTAAAACCTTCAAAATCCTTCTCCTACCGTAGGGATTTTATCCTAATTTAGTCTGGAGCATCCTTGGGCCAAGGGGACTCAATTTGTATAAACGGTGGGTATGACCCAGGGTCATAGGGGTGGGGCTCTGTTTGAAATTTTTTATATCTCAAGTACTGGATGGGTTTTTCTGAAATTTCATATGTACTTACAGCACCTACCATGGAGTGCTATATCTTTACTTCATACCAATTATTTTAAACATATTCAGGTGAGCGATACAGGCCCTCTGGGCCTCTTGTTTGTATATGCGATACGATACAATTGCTCTTACCCATATCAGCACTCGCCGTATCACACCCCAAAAGCCGTATCAGCCCCGCCGTATCACACCCCAAAACCTGTATCAGCCCGCAAAACCCGTATCACACCCCTTTTGGAAATTTTTCGTTTTTTCAATATTTCAAAAGAAAAATAGATTTTAAGATAGTAGCTTTTATTAGTAAGTATGTAATAAACAGAATAAAACATGCCTTTTTCCATATCAAACCCAGTATCAACCCTCGATCAATATCAGCCCTCGGGCCTTCGGCCCTTGTGCTGATATTGCAGTCTCGGGTTGATACTGGGTGTGATATGGAAAAAGGCATGTATTATTCTCTATCTACAAGACATGTTGGGTTCAAAACTGTTACAGATATCCTGACTAAATTGCATTTGACCCGAATCATTTGGTTTCAGATGTTCCGTTTCCTGGATTCCTCGCCATACTTTTTTGTTGATGCCCTGTATGTGCATGAGCCTCCCTCTGAAGACAACAAGTGTGAGGTAAGTAAAAACTCCATCCTGCAGACAGGGTAGACATTACAAGCCCCACAATCATGTGGTAAGTAAAAACTCCATCATGGAGACGGGTAGACACTATACAGTACAGGCCCCACCATCATGTGGTAAGGAAAAACTCCATCATGGAGACAGGCTAGACAGTACAGGCACCACCATCATGTGGTAAGTAAAAACACCATCATGGAGACAGGGTAGACAGTACAGGCCCCACCATCATGGGGTAGGTAAAAACACCATCATGGAGACGGGCAGACACTAGACAGTACAGGCCCCACAATCATGTGGTAAGTAAAAACACCATCATGGAGACAGGGAGACACTAGACAGTACAGGCCCCACCTTCATGTGGTAAGTAAAAACTCCATCATGGAGACAGGCTAGACAGTCCAGGCCCCACCATCATGTGGTAGGTAAAAGCACCAACATGGAGACGGGTAGACACTAGACAGTACAGGCCCCACCATCATGTGGTAGGTAAAAACACCATCATGGAGACGGGTAGACACTAGACAGTACAGGCCCCACCATCATGTGGTAAGTAAAAACTCCATCATGGAGACAGGCTAGACAGTACAGGCCCCACCATCATGTGGTAGGTAAAAAATCCATCATGGAGACAGGGTAGACTAAAAGAATCTTCCCCTTCCTTGAGGGTTCAACAGAGAAATCGCCAACCATAGGGGTGATTGGTTTGTTTGCCTAACCAGACCTGTGATTCTGTCGAGGGTTAGACAACCAAATAATATCCCTGAGTGTTGGAGATGTCTCTGTTACACCCTCAAGGAAGGGGATACTTATTGTTCTCCCTTCATTCCAATACCGAGTAAAAAGTAATGTTTTTTTCCTGATTTGCATATCCTCCGGCTCTGCAATCAAGAGCTGATTATAATGTCACGTCTGATTGTTCCTGTGACATCATGATATTGTTTCTTTCTGCGTGCAATCTGACATACCCTACAGGGTAACAGAGAAATCATACCCTAGGGGGATGCAGAGAAATCTTGAACAGGTTAAACGAGAGGCAATTCAATCAATTGTGGGAGAAAGTACAGGCCCCACCGTCATTTGATAGGTAAAAACTCCATCACGGAGGCAGGGTAACCAGGGCTTGACGATCATGTGGTCGGTAAACAGGCTCTACAATCATGAAACAATGTGGATATAAGTACAAATTGGAGTGATGTCTAAACTTTCAGTTTCATACTTATATAAGAATTTGACTTCATTTACATGTAGTTTTTTTGTACATCCATATACACTAAATGTAAGTAATGTATGTTCCCGTACGTTAGCTTAAAATAGATCTTTTGCAAACATCTGCTGTTTGAAGTCCAAGACAATTTTATGATCCTTGCTGAGTCTGGCCCTATCTTCGCCACTATCTTGTATTGTATCATGTGAGTTTGAGCTGAAGTTTTTACTGGAATTTTGTTATCTATGTGTGAGAAAATTAGTATAAGAACAACATAAAGTAGAGTCAGAGTGTTGATGGTATTATGGTACACCCTGCAGTTTGTCAATCAACCGTTTCTTTTGTCCTCATTCTTCTGCCTAGGTCATTAAGACATTACTTGATGAAAATGATATAAATGTTCCATAAAAATATTGCTCAGACAAGTTTGCACCTTACGATTTTGTTTGTGTTCACAGCATCCGCTAGTGTATGTTTAGTTCTCCATACCCCAGTTGATGTATTCCTAAATGGAATTCACTAGTCCGGCCATAAGAGTAATCAAAATTCAAAAGAAGAGATCACCAGAATTCTTTTGAATTTAAAAAAAAAAATCGAAATATGTACCTGTTTTTGAAAAAAATGAGATTGAAATAAAACTATTAATTTGATTAAAATATGGTTATTTCTTTTCAGCAAATATTTGACTGTATTTGTGACTTGGATGAAAAAGGACAGAGTTACATCTTTGAAGCAGCCAGAAATCCAACCAAGTTATATGATCAAATGGCACAGCTGTTAGCTCACCCGTTACAGAGACCTTTACAACGTGATATTGCTTACAGGCTTCTTAACATGGCAGACTTGGAGGTTTCCTGATGATATGATGGGACTTTGAACACACGCCTGGATTTATCAAGACGTGGGAAAATGAAGCTGAAATACCTAGAGTGTTCTGGAAAATAAGTGCTTGCTAGTGTACTTTCCTTGGTAACCATTATTTGAAAAATGTTGAAAAGAATGTTTTTGTTCATATGTAACAAATTTTCATATGTAGTAGTTACAATTTTTTTGAACAAAAATGAAAAAACTGAAAATATCATTCTTAAGGTAACATTCAAAGGTGATTTTTCAATTTATTTATATTTATATTTTGAAGTGAATTCAACAAATATAAGAGACTATATTTTGGAAAAGTGGTAACTTAAGAAAACCAAAGTCCACAGGGTTCTGAGGCCAGGTTTCTTTACAATGTTATGTTGAAAAGTAAATACATGTATTAGGAACAAAGTGATATTGATTTTAACCTATTTCAGAGTAAAATGGTTACAGAACATATTCAATCCTAAAATTTGACTACATGTGCTGGAAGGAAAGTTAAATACCTTGATATGTAAATCTTTGTGTAAATATTGCATACAGATTCGGTGAATCTGCTGGAATTTACCAAAGGAGATCCTCCTTATCTGTGAAAGTACATCAGAGATTGTGTTGTGGCTTATGGAAGATCAACCAGTTATCAAATATGTGCACAAGATCGTTGTAAAGAAGAGTATGATGCCGTGGATTTGATTTGATTTCGCAAATGTTGGTAGCATTCTTTAATCATTGTGAAGTTTGCTTTACTTTTTCAGATATTAAGTTTCAATGCAAGTTATAAAAATGATTTAAAAAATTAAATTTGATATGTTGGATATATTAGTTGCGGAAATTATGGTACTTTGGTTGGTGAACAACAGATATAGTGAAAGTTTTAGAATGTAATCTCATTATCATGCAATCCATTTTGTCGCGTTTATCATGAACATTAAAGATTTTTATTTAAAGTAATTGGTAGTGTTTGTGTTTAATCTGAAGTACACTGTTACAACTTCTACAGAAATGGTCTTAAGTATATAGCATTGATTCTTTTTAGCTCGTCTGGCCCAAATTGTCAAGAGAGAAATTGCAATCTGTTGCCGTCTGTAAAAAATAATTATTAAGCACTTTCCACACTTCTCCTGTATGTCCAAACTATCCTAGATATGTGTACAGGACATAAAATATGTTTGTTTATGTTGTTCAAATCTCGACTACTAATGCACCAGTATCCCGGAGGTTGTACAGGATGATGATACTTGGCCAAAAGCTGGCTGGCATGGAGCATTACAAAATAAAAAGAATTACTTTGACCTTTGTTTAAGGTCATTGAGGTCAATTTTTTTTAAAACAGGCATAGTCAGTCGTGATGTTTGGTCAGTACCTTGGAAGCTTGTATGAGTTATAAATGTAAAAGACAAGAGGCCCAAGGGCCTTAGCGGTCACCTGAGTTATATCATAGATACTGGTAGCTTTATTTTACTGTTTAGATGTGATGTGGAAATCAGCATGTAAACTAAGTGAAATACAATACTTGTCATGTCATCAATGGATAAGAATTTGAAAATATTGGTAAATGTTCCCTTTGGGGCCCCGCTCTAGCCCCTGGGGATGGGGCAGGAATCCTAATTTTACAAAGTAAAACTCTCATTTACCCAAGATGATTCTGACTAAGTTTGAGCAATTTTCTGCTGAAAATATATAAAATATATACCGAAAAGTGTTATTTCCCTATATAAACTATATTAAACGTTAACCCCTCCCCAAGGGAGAACGGATAGCTCGGGGTCCTGATATTTTCAATTTAAATAAAGCCCCTGATGATCTTTCTTTCCACGTAAAGAAAATCACTGTAGTACCTCTGAGTCTGGAGAAGAAGATTTTTGAAATATTGATTAATTTTCCCTTTGGGGCCCCGCCCTGGCCCCAGGGGTCGGGGTAGGAATCTCAATTTTACAATTTGAAACCATCTACCTCCAAGGATAATTCTCACCAAGTAAAAATAATTTCCTACAGAAAGTTGTCAAAATATACCCAAAAGTGTTATTTCCCTATATAAACTATAGTAAACTTTACCCCCTCCCCAAGGGAGAACGGATAGCTCGGGGGTCCTGAAATTTACAATTTAAGTAAAGCCCCTGATGATCTTTCTTTCCACGTAGAGAAAATCACTGTAGTACCTGTGAGTCTGGAGAAGAAGATTTTTGAAATATTGGATAATTTTCCCTTTGGGGCCCCGCCCTGGCCCCAGGGGTGGGGGTAGGAATCCCAATTTTACAATTTTGAAGCCTCATCTACCAAGGATGATTCTGACCAAGTTTGAAAAAAATCCATCCACTGGTTCTTGAGAAGAAGTTGAAAATGTAAAAGTTTACGCACGACACACGACGCACGACGGACGACGGACGACGACGGACGAAAAGCGATTGGAATAGGTCACTTGAGCAAAGCTCAGGTGACCTAAAAATAGCTTGATTCAAAGTCACAGTGGTCAAATTTATTACCCTTGTCTATTACAAAAGATTTTTCTTCAATATCTAAGGGTACCATGTATGCTGACTTCCTAATGCAAAAATTCAGCTGAACATAGTGGCATTAATAGTATAAAGAACTACTACTAAACTTGAGCTTCATTTCTCCTTCTATATACTGTCTTTCTAGTGTCGAAATTCTGCTGGATAAACAGTCGCATTAGGTCTTCTATAATTTAGCTTCATGTCTACCTCAAAAAACTCTTTGTAATTCAAAACTTCAGCTGAACATATGGTGGCAATTTAACAAGTTCTACTATCCTTAAAGTCTTCTTGTCTGTCTTAAAATACTGTCTATGTAATGCCAATGTTCAGCAGGACAGTGTGGCAATTATAAAGTTGTACTATAATTTAGCTTCATGTCTCCTTCAATATACTGTCATATTGCCAAAATTTTAGTCGGTGGCATTATAACAACCTTTTACTGAAAATAAAACAAAACAACATTTTGTTTAGAAAGACATTTATTATGTACAAATAAATAATTAGTACATCAAAGGTCTTGCTTGTAACAAAACAAAAGCAAAATAACAATGGCAAATAAAGTATGACAATCAGACTAAATCAATATCTGGATCCAAATAAATGAAATAGGAAGGTTGCTCTACGTTTTTTATGTGAATACTGATCAACTCTGTATCTGTACCTTTGGATCAATTTACACAATATTAGAAAGTTTTTATAATTGTACATTTGTATATCTTTACAGTAACTCATGAACAAAAAAAATGAATATCTGATATCCTCTAAATTATAAAAGTTGATAACCATCTTTGCTAGCCTTGGGTCACGATCCATTAATACCTGGTAACCCTTGGTTACTGAAGTTGGTAGATTACATATCATTCAAGTTACAATATGAATTTGTCATCAATTAATATTTCAGTATTTTTTTTTATCTCATTCTCAAAATTTTCAAAACAAGTGGCTTACAGAAGTATAGCAGACAAAGTAATCATTGTAGTCTACCAGTAGGTCATTCTCAAAAAATGTTTTCAAAAAGTTGTTCTTCAGCTTTAGAATTTTAGACGTATGGAATAATTGACTGCAACATGTCTATGATTCCTCAAAATTTAAATAAATAGAAATCCTTTAGGATGAACATTGAAAAAAAGAGGCTGAAAAGCCTGTGTCCATCATATATCATAATAGACTTATGATTTATTAATAACAATAGTGAGAGTGGATGATATTGCCAATATGATCAAGTAATAGCTTTAAATAGCTTCAATCTAGAGCAGATGTGGTGAGGAGTAAATTCTTATCTGTGAAAAATAATGAATATAAAGACAACGTCCACGAATGATTACCGGTAGGTCAATCAAGGTCCTCATTTTAGTATCATCACACTACAATATTATAACCCGGACATATGCGTAGTACGACACCTAAACTGGGTCACATTTTTATGAGAAAGGACTCGGAGGTGCCTTGAAAGATACTACCAAAAGACTAGAGTAGGTTAGACAGCAAGTACCAACAGGTATTCATATTTAATATTTATTTTGATGTTAGTCAAAGGTTAATAATAATTTCCAGAATTCAGCAAGACAATTCGGTGTACAGGAATCAGAACTACTGTCTTGATACCACTGAAACACTACTTCATCCACTATGAAATATTTCGTTACCAGAACTGTGTGTATGTAATACTATATACACTATATACACACATAAGTATAAAAAGGTTATTGCACTGGCTATATGTAGTGAGTTGCTAGCATTCTATCTTTTCACGACTGTTGACCTGAAATTTCAGGTATGCAAGAACGAGACGATGATTGTTCATGACTATCACTGAATACAAAGTGTGATCATCTACAAATCCATGGTAATCTGCTTATTGTAATACCTGCAGAATCGAATCTCTTATAAGTAAGTCCAAAAAATCCCATATTTTTTTTTTTTTTTTTTTAAATAAATTATACAAAAGAAGTTCAGTCCTGCATACCCAGAATCACACTTATTTATCAGATTATTTAATGACATTGTCTTTGACAACATCAAGTATTTTTCACCTTTTTAAAATTTTCACAAATACTCTGATTAAAAACTGGTCTTCTAATGGAAGTAACTATATTTTTTTTAACTGTACAGGATCACATGCTAACAGATGGTGATGATGTTAACCGATTAATTGCATACACAAATAGCTCCCTTCACCAATGAAGTGTAATACAGGATGATCTACTGAAATTTAAGAGTTATGTATGAGTCCTGGTGGGAACAAACGGAGAACATGTGTCCAACATATCGGTGTCGATCCCAAAAGACTGCTCTGCCTTTGACGTCTTATCAAGATGTCAGATACAATTTCAATCAAATATTAGAAATATATCTAGAAGGTCAATTGTTTCCAAGTCACTTTATTTTGGACAGATGCTCCCAATTTTTGCACTCATATTTTTTTACTGTACACAACAAAAGATTTTCCTATAATTTGCTTTTCACCAAAATGTCCTTAATTTATTTTATAGAAAACACTTTGGCACTTAGGCTACCATTTTTTTTAAAATATAGGTTATTTGCAGGTACTGCTTAGATTTTTCCATGCTGATTCTTCCGTCAAGAAAAGTGAAATATGTTTATCAAAAGAAAATTATTGAAAGAAGACCAATTAAATAAGAAATAGTCTGCCCTTATGCCTTCCTCAAAATAAAAGAAAGGAAAATATATACCAATACTTAACCCATTCACCCCTAAAGTCTCATTTGAACCTAACTAAATCAAAGACTGGGCAAGTCCAGTTTGGATATGTAGGGGTGAATGAGTCAATGAGAGTATCACAATACTACATTAATGTAGGGAGGAGTATAGTGATCTTTGAACAATACACTGACAAACATACCTATTTAGTAAGGAGAAACGTTTTTTGCGAATGTCAGGACCCATATCGGATCAAGGATTGAATTTTGCAGTATCTTACGCTTCAAATGAATATTGTTTTGTTAGCAAATTAACATTTTATGATGACTTTTAGAATTTATTAGACACAAAGTATTTCTATAGTGTGAATTTATTCCTATAGTCCAAAACAGAATGCATAGTCGTCGCACACACCATTTTTTAAAAACATTACCAAACACTGACATTTGAGTTTGAATTACGTTTTCTTGTGCTATTTGAACTTAAAAACTAATCATCTGTAAACAAAAAATGGTGCATGGCTATCTATTCTAAGACTAAATCATTGTTATAACTGATCTGTTGACCCATTTATTTATTCATAAGTATTTTTGCAAAAAGTGATCCGATTTGGGTACTGCCTCCTTATATGGTGTTCTGGGAGTGTTAGTGCTGTGTATTTCGACAGACCACTGACGTATACACAGTGAGAAATAGTACCATCGGCTAATTTTCTATAGATACATACACAAACAACTTAATACTTGATTGACAGGATTCATATTCCTGTTACTCTACAAATCAACTATGTATTGATTTTTTTTTATATATATACAGGTACTGTATCTTCCATATGACCATCTTGTACATGCTGTTAAATTCTTACTCTTATTACAAAGTACTATTTTTATGAAAAATTTAATATTGTATTGTAATATTATAAGTGCAATGCATTACATATATACATTACTTGTGAGGTAAAATTGAAGTTTCTATTGAACGTACAATGACGTATGTATCTATCGTACACTGTATTGTATCTATATTACATCATATTGTATTAGTGAATTATACATGTATTACAATGTACTGTATATATAAATATGTAAAAGGAGACTGGGGTTCAAACCACTCTAGACGGAGGCTCTTCCATTGAGCTACCTGGTCAAGGACGTGGTCCAGTTCTGTTACAAATACATTGTATATAGTTTAATACATTGTATTTTAACCAAATTAAATCTAGTACAATGTTTTGTATTTAAAGTACAATGTTTTGTATTTAAAGTACAATGTATTGTATTTATTACAATATGTTAATCTATAGTACAATGTATGTGTATTATCTATAAGAGAGTTTGATTTAATTACATGTACATGTTGTATTGGTGTAAATGGAAACTCAATGGCATCACTTCAACATGTATAGAAATGTCCGAATTTTGACCATTTAATTAACAAATTGTTTTGAATACAAAAGCAAGAGGGCTATACAATATGATACACAATATTGACAGTCTTAACCCTTTCACCACTGTAGACCAAAATGGACTCATCCAGATCAATGCATGGTAGAGTTTACTAAAGTTGCATAGGGGTGAAAGGGTTAACATACATGAGCAGATGTATATATAAAATGTCAAATAATTTACTTATAAAGGTAAAAAGGTCTAACCAAGCCTTAATTCTGAAACGCTGTCATTGATTTCTGCTGAGCACAAAAAAATTCAACGGTACACTACTTAAAAAAACAACTGACGTTACTTTAGTTATTTATTTGTGTCTCATATGTGTTGATGGCAGAATCGACACTATGTACATGTATTCTGATTATCATACACCATGAAAGTACAAATATAGATTTATAAAAAACTCTTGTTCTTTGACATCGAAGACATTTTCACAAGACGTACACAAACAAAATCTTACAGATATATGTACAAAATTGGCTTTTGATTTTAATACCAACTGTTGTGTTTAATACATTACTTTCCTTCAAGTTAGTTAGTACAAACAACACTTATACTACCTGATCACTTGTTTACCCTAAACATTCATATTTTACCTTTGATCTTTTTTATGTTCCTGTAAATTCTCAGCCATCTTAAAGGAGGGCAATCAAACGGACCACTTTACTGAATAAAAGGGTATACGTATTTTCCCAGACATCTTATCATGCTAACATATTGATGCGTTAACAATGCACGAAAAACAGATATTGTGTGCTAAATTATAATTGCTCAATATTACAAGTGATACGTGCTAAATAGCACAGTTTTACGAGTAATGTTTGCTAAAACATAATACATAATTACAGTACTTGCCACATATATATAATAAAATCATGATGTATAATTGATGTTAAAATATAATAGCAGCACTAGTACTACCATAATAGTGACACCTACTACATTATGATATTACATACAAAATACACAATAGCCCTATCAAACCAGAAATGTGTACTAAATCCTACTAATTCAGTTCAGTATTCTAGTAAGCAGCACTTAACCATGCCTGTAAAGTGTGCTGAAATATAATTAGCACAATATCATACCGGTACATGTCTGTGTACTGAAACTAAACAGCACAATATCATACCGGTACATGTCTGTGTACTGAAACTAAACAGCACAATATCATACCGGTACATGTCGGTGTACTGAAACTAAACAGCACAATATCATACCGGTACATGTCGGTGTACTGAAACTAAACAGCACAATATCATACCGGTACATGTCGGTGTACTGAAACTAAACAGCACAATATCATACCGGTACATGTCGGTGTACTGAAACTAAACAGCACAATATCATACCGGTACATGTCGGTGTACTGAAACTAAACAGCACAATATCATACCGGTACATGTCGGTGTACTGAAACTAAACAGCACAATATCATACCGGTACATGTCGGTGTACTGAAACTAAACAGCACAATATCATACCGGTACATGTCGGTGTACTGAAACTAAACAGCACAATATCATACCGGTACATGTCGGTGTACTGAAACTAAACAGCACAATATCATACCGGTACATGTCGGTGTACTGAAACTAAACAGCACAATATCATACCGGTACATGTCGGTGTACTGAAACTAAACAGCACAATATCATACCGGTACATGTCGGTGTACTGAAACTAAACAGCACAATATCATACCGGTACATGTCGGTGTACTGAAACTAAACAGCACAATATCATACCGGTACATGTCGGTGTACTGAAACTAAACAGCACAATATCATACCGGTACATGTCGGTGTACTGAAACTAAACAGCACAATATCATACCGGTACATGTCGGTGTACTGAAACTAAACAGCACAATATCATACCGGTACATGTCGGTGTACTGAAACTAAACAGCACAATATCATACCGGTACATGTCGGTGTACTGAAACTAAACAGCACAATATCATACCGGTACATGTCGGTGTACTGAAACTAAACAGCACAATATCATACCGGTACATGTCGGTGTACTGAAACTAAACAGCACAATATCATACCGGTACATGTCGGTGTACTGAAACTAAACAGCACAATATCATACCGGTACATGTCGGTGTACTGAAACTAAACAGCACAATATCATACCGGTACATGTCGGTGTACTGAAACTAAACAGCACAATATCATACCGGTACATGTCTGTGTACTGAAACTAAACAGCACAATATCATACCGGTACATGTCTGTGTACTGAAACTAAACAGCACAATATCATACCGGTACATGTCGGTGTACTGAAACAGCACAATATCATACCAGTACATGTCTGTGTACTGAAACTAAACAAGCCTTGTGCTGACCATTTAACAAAACGAACAATAAATTTAAAGCGTCACATAAGGAAATATACAATTTTTGTATTACTGTATAGCACTTTAATTTCATGAGGTCAAAAATACACATTTTTGTTCCTGGAACAAATTTTCAGGGTATAAATTTCATGCAACACTTAAGCTGGTTAATATATATATCATAACTAATCATCTATCAGAAGGCAAGACATTTGTTTGGTTTATGTACTGAGTAAATGTTTAGGTCACAATTATAGCAAAAATAAAACCTCTATGAAATATAAGTCCCATACAGTAAATATAAGTCCCATACAGTAAATATACGTACTATACAGTAAATATATACAGTAAATATAGGTATTATATTTAGAATACAGTAACTATAATTACTATATGTACTAAACAGTAAATATAAGTACCATACAGTAAACATAAGTACTAAACAGTAAATATAAGTTCCATACAGTAAACATAAGTACTAAACAGTAAATATAAGTACCATACAGTAAACATGAGTGCTATATACAGAGAATTTAAATACTATGCAGTAAATGCATGTGCTATTACAGTAAATAAAATTACTTTACAGTAGATATAAGTGCTTTACAGTAAATATGTATTACAGTAATTTAAATGCTGTAAAGTAAATATAATTGCTATACAGTAAATATATATACTATAGAGGAAATATATGTACTATACATTAAATGAATTTTAATCAAGTTGATTATTAACAAACTATGGTAAGATAAACAAAAATTATGATACTGTAATACAGAAATAATAATCAGTTTATTTTAAAGTGTTTTTTTAAAGTTTTATAACTGTAGAGGTATTGTATATCCTCTTATGATAAAATAGGTTGGCTTCATAGCATTACTGTATCAAGAATATCATGAAGGTTCCTCGAGAAATTGTAAGTTCTAAAACCCTCCTGCATGTTATATTTAACTAAAAGAAATATATTAATATTGCTGATGTCAGGGAGATTCTCATTTGATTGTATTTATTCTGGCAACTCCAACTGACCACAGGAGACCATACAATCTTCAGAACTACAGACATCCATCATGGACTGTAGAGATAATGGCTTGGAAAAACTTAACATGTCCAGCAAAAAGCTGATTGTTGACTGTCTAACAAATCTGCGGAGGTTTTCTACATGCATCCAGGCATTTACCACATTGAATAGTCAAGGTCATCACTGTCGAAAACATAGAAGTAGCCAAGAATTGTCAAAAACACTACAATGTTAGCTGACAGCACCAACGCACATGCTCCCCACTGGATCTGAAAATAAACCAACATTGTATTAGCTTATCTGGCCCAGGTATGGAAAAACTTCTAAACTCTGAAAGACATTCATAACCTGAATATTCTTTTTTTTCTTCCTCCCAAATGTTCTAGTTAGTCTTTCTACAATTCTTAACATTGTAAGAATGAATATCGTACAATCCTGACTAAGCTGGGGTTTTTCCCTCCAATTCAATTGTGAATCCAAAATGGCTACCACAGCTGCCATCTTGAAAATTTATTAATACACTTATCTAGTTTAATTTTGTCAGTTTAGCAGAAAATTTGTCAGAATTATAAATACACAATACCAATTATTGGCCAATCATCAATCTGAATCAAAGGTGGCTATCATGGCTGCCATCTAAAACAAATGTTTGTTTCCGTATTACTCAAATAAGTGTTTAATCTCCTTTAGCCTCTAGATCTTGTTAATTTGGCGACTCTTTAATTATAAGATGCTTTTGATAACACATGCTTCATTTTCTTTTCCAAGTTTCGATGGATAACCCTAGATCTTTATTCTGAAATATAGATGTATTTTAATGTTAATTCCAAGTATTTTCCTTTTTGTATTCAAAGTCCCTTTCATTTTCCTCTTTTTGTACGATTAAGCCTATATACTTATATTTACAACAGGAGTGATACAAATATGGCAAAATACCCACTCAATATCACCAATAAACTGAGGCAATATTGGATGAACTGGGCCAATAAAGAACAAACTTGATCAATATCAAGATTTGCTCCATCCAACTCATCCCTTGTCATTCTAACATTTCTAGAGTTATCATCAATGAATAGGTATGGTGCTGGAATCTACATATACAATGGCCTTCACATTCGAAGTTCTTCGTTGAACGTGACATTTGGAGTAGAAATCCAAGGAGAGGTGATGTTGGGTTGGAAGTATTACCACACAATGTCATCAACATGTATCAAAAGTGACTTAAACTGACTTTCATTTGAAAAGCTGCACAATCTCATGGCAATCAATGACAATAAAGGGGAGCGTGAAAAAATAAAATGTCTATCCATACATGATAGGGATAAATCAACTAAACAAATAATGTGGAATATGTTGAATTATGGTTAATTTTCTTTTTTAGAAAGTTAATCAATAAAAGTGTTATTTATCAGCTAATTTAATATTGACCCAGTTAGTAGGCCTCAGTCTTCACCCATGGCCACAAGTTTTTATAATTGTACTATAGGAAGGTTTGATAATAAGTTTAATCCCTATTAGGCCAAGTTATTAGCCATGGTCCGTTATATTAGCCCACAACTAATAACCCCACATATACACCTATATGATAGTGTTATTTACAAGCTTATTCCATATTGGCCAAGTTATTAGGCCTTGGTCTGCCATACTGGCCCTTGGCTAATAAGCCTATCATATACTACATGTGTAAGTATTACATTATTACATGTATTACATTATTACATGTATATAGTACCCGTGTTTATGTAATATTGAATAAATTTACTATTCACACCTTGATAATAATATGGGAAAACTGTGCCCAAACTGAGTCAATATGGCTAGGACTGGGCCATTATCGACCAACTGGGCCAGTATGGCTAGGAATGGGCCATTATCGACCATTTGGGCCAATATAGCTAGGACTGGGCCATTATCGACCAACTGGGCCAGTATGGCTAGGAATGGGCCATTATCGACCAACTGGCCTAATATGGCTAGGACTTGGCCATTATCGACCAACTGGGCCAATAATGCTAAGACTTGGCCATTATCGACCAACTGGGCCAGTATGGCTAGGACTTGGCCATTATCGACCAACTGGGCCAATATGGCTAGGAATGGGCCATTATCGACCAACTGGACCATATGGCTAGGACTTGGCCATTATCGACCAACTGGGCCAGTATGGCTAGGAATGGGCCATTATTGACCAACTGGGCCAATATGGCTAGGACTTGGCCATTATCGACCAACTGGGCCAATACAAAACAAACTGATCATGAACCAATACTGAAATGAATGCCAACTGAACGCAGCTCTGACATTTGAACACTAAAATTAATAACTTTTTCTGCTATTTTAGAAAGACAATTAATTAAAGTGTCATTAATTAGATAATGCCATATTGGCCCAATGATATCATTAGGGCCATTGATATCATTAGGTGGCCCTAAATGACCACAGCCGTCGATGGGCCGTTAAACATAAACAAACGAACAAAATATCATTAGGACTAAGTCCGATTACTTGACCAACATGGAATTAGCATATTTGTAGCCTTAATTTTTCAACTTTTTTAATGTACCTAATACTTACCACACTGACATGTGCCAATACCAATGGTAACCCCATCGATGACACAACTATCCCTGTAGTAACAAAGATAGCCATTTCTAAACAGGCACTACTGGACGAGTCAAATGAGTTCATACATCGCTTGGACAGGGTCATCGGCAGAGGGGCCAGGATGTAGAAAAACAGCACAAACAGGGGCCACCAATTGCTGTAAAGAAACCAAAACACCATTAAATGGCTCACTCAGTCATAGCTTGACAAAGGGACCCGTCGGTCTTGAAACGTTGCGACACATTTAATACGTACATTGTTTGTGTAGAAAGTAAAACTTTGATATCATCATTAAATGCTTTCACAGTTATGGTTTAGTTTGGTTTGATATTTTGTGGAAATTCTATTTAAAAGTTTACTCAATACTTATAATAACAAATATTTTTTTGTGATATTTCCCAATTCATAATATATAACAATCCAAGAGTGTAAAGTCAAAGGTACATATCATATATTGTTCTACTTTGAAATTACAATGGCTCGAGTTGGTATTCCTAGGGCTGTTCAGAGAACTTTTTGCCTTTAAGATACATATAATTTTACACACAAGAAACACACATGTCTGGTATAAATTAATGTACCAGTATACCTGTAATTCATTCAACAATTTTAGATAATGTTAAAAATAAGCTTGACACACAAATGTATTTATGTTAGATCAGATTATTCTTACTTGAACTGTGGGAGGGCACATCCTAACACCAAAAATGTGATACCTATCGCAGCTGCAAATGCAAGGCTTATCAACCTGGAAAATAATTAAGGCATTAGCATCACAATGAGAAAGTAGATCAATTAACACCAAATGCAAGATAACAACATCTATATTGAGTCATACTGACAGGATAGAAGAAAAGAAACCTTACCAGTATTAAGAAATTTAGTCAATTTTTGAATTATCCCTGATGATGAATATCTAAGTCTTTAGTTTTAAAAGACCAATTGTGTATTCAATTTCTGTCAAAAAGATTTTATCATAAAGAAATGTTCTTGAGTTAAAATCAAGAAATTGGTGAAAATTGTTAGCATAACTGTAGTAACTACTTAAGGGGAAATAATTATTCAGTTTAATGTCATATTTCTTTTAAGAAAAGAATGCTAAGCTAACAAAGAAGTCTGATTGGAATTAAAGATAATAAATACTTACGCTGTTTGTTGACAGGATGGAATTGACATGAATGAAAAATAAAAAAAGAACAACAATTTAGTTTAATTGCACCCAATTTAAATAAAAAAAATATCTATAACACCAAAAAACATAAAATTTTCATTGATAATCTTGAACTCTTTTTAATCCTTGAAAGAATCACACAGTAAAAATGTTGCCTTAGTTGTAAATTTAAGCTTATTATAAGTTATGAAGATTTGCATCCATGTGTCTCTCGATTCTAATTGCATGATTAATTTTAGTTGTAATTAATGAATTATTTGTTTGTTTCATCAAAGACTACATAAATATACTAATCGTATACACGTATATTTGTTGTCTCCACTTTTGGTTTGGTCAACCATGAGAGTTATTGAGTTTCTGCTTTCAGTTCATAAATTATGCTTAGGGTAAGTAGGAAGCAAGATTTTTAAATACTTCATTTTATATTTAAATGGTTATATGGAGACAAATTACATACAATCCGCAAAAAAATACATATCTTATTAGGTATCTATATCGACATTGAAAACTTAAAACAATTTGTATAAATTACTGCTGCTTTATAGTTTCATAAAATATTGATTTATAGCACGTTAGTATACAAATCAAACATAGAACTGGGAAAATGGCAATGAACCAGCTGCTGCATTATGATGTTTATATAGCAAGCTACCTATCTGGTTGCCTTGGTTACCTATCATGTTTACGTCATCCTCAAAATTCCAGGAGTAATGCACACTTACAGTATGTTCTCTGCAACCCCTGAATATGTCATGGCAAAATTGAAGGCACACAGCTAGCTATTTGATTGGTTTCAGGGGGAAAAAAAGCCTGGCCAATTGCTAGGCTGATATACCTATCATCTGAATTGACAGTTAGATCTAGAGGAGTGACAGCCGACATCAAAGACAGTCAGTTTTACTGTTACACTGTCCAACGACACTTTTGACACACATTGAAGGATGAAATTGGTCTTCTTGTATCATCCTTAAGGTGGCACACAACGAGACTTCTATTTTGACATGATATATTCCAGGGGCTGAGAACGTAAGTGAGCATAACCCCTTGAATTAAATTTCAAGGATGCGTTATATTAACAGTACCTGTAATGACTCATTAGTTAGGTGCAGTACAGAGCTTTATAAAGATGGATATTGAGCTTTTATAGCCAAAATGACTATCTGAAGAGTTGTTTTAAACTTGTTTTAAAAATATATCTGAAAGAAAGGGTGATAACTCTGTGTATGGAGGTATGTGTGTTGCGCTATATATGCATGGGGCCCCCTGCAGAATCAGGTTTTTTCTACATCTTAATTCTGCTTAATGGGACATTGATTTTTCAATGCAGAAAACTAAATTGATCTGCTGACCCTATTCACGGACTTAGATAACATAATTCCGTGCCCTTTTACAACACTTCGGATCTCTATATTTTCCTGTGTCTCCTTAGAACCTGTCGAATCAAATGACTGTAGCTGTTGCAAAGACGTGAAACCCCAAACAAATATCCTCATAATGTTCGACTGGATTTCCAGAAAAACTTCGAACCAAACAACAAAAGAATGATGCCATGTTATCATGTAATGTTTGAAATTTTCTATGCGCTTTTCAAATCCATCAATTTGATCAGTTGAGTAACAACACGACTCGTTGATTTCAACGAAAATGTTGTTTTTAAACCTTGCATCATAAGTCTTGAAAGCTGTCGGTGTTCATATAGTAAGATTCACCAGGTAATATACACATAAACATGTACAAAACAGATCTAGTTAGTACACAATAGTAGCAGTATTTTATCTTCAAATGTGCAAAAAATTGTTATTTCTCTTTCTGATGGAAAAAGGAAAATCTATCATAGAAGAAAAACTTGTATTTGTATAAGGTATATACACAATTTTCATAAAATATCTATGAAAAAATGTTTTTTATGACTAATGCTCTCATGTGACAGACATTCTATAGCAGGTATATCTCTTGTGACTCTACGGTGAGTCTACCTGTCACTCATCCGACTTGTTTGAAAACCAACATAAAACATTTCAAAATCTGTTTAACCAATCGTCAAAATCGACGAACATCATATATTAATAATGAAAGCTAACAAACAAAAGGCACGTGCTTCTGAAATCGTAAAGTTTGCAACGCATAAACATTAAATGATAAATATGACAGAGCACTTGCTGTTTACCTCTGATGCCAGCCATGTTGAATATATGTAACGTCATGTTAGTTCCGTACCCTGAAATAGAATAATTATCAAAATCATTAAGAAAGTGGGTCAATGATATTTAAAACACATAATTTAACTGTAATTAGCTTTTATAAACACGCTCTTATCTTTATTTTTCAAGGATTTTTTCGAAACTAATTTTATTGTTTCTAAACAAAGAACCAAATGACGGCAAATTCGGATATACAATGCCCGTTTTCCCTTCGGATTATAGGAATATTTACTTTTTTTCAACATTTTGTTTTATAATTTGGCACACATCTAGAAATTACCCAGCGCTTCTATTGATAGCATTAACATAACTATGCATTTCTTAGATTTTTAAACATGATAATTTATTTTATCAAAACAATATTAATATGCAAATACATAGCGGCCTGTTGGAATGATGTCAACAGTAACTTTTATGCGAAGATGAAACTTCACAGTAACGAAGACAAATGTAATTATATAAATAAAACCAAAAATATCATCAAAATCGGACGAAAAACAACAACAGGAAAATTTATTGAAAGTAAGTAAATTAACATTGAAAGTAAAAAACGGCTTACATATCAGATCAAAATTGACTGTAACATAGAGTTATCTCCCCTGTAAAAGTTTCCATCAAAATGGCGACGAATGCTGAGAAGGAACCGGCTGCGCTTAAACTTCGTCCAAAAAAGATAGTTTCAAAGGACAGAAATCAGATGTCTTCCTATGCGTAAGTAAGTTATTATATCAGTTCACAAAATATACGTTACTGAGTGGCAATATTTCATGTTAATCACTATTAATATGGATTACATTTCCATCGAGTGAAGTGAAGCCGGTGTCCGGGCAATTTTGCTACCGGTAATATACGACTAAGAGAGATAGAGCAGAATTCATCTTCTTTCAATTTGAGTGCAGTTGTCACAATTAGGTGTTCTAGGAGGTGACAGTTGTGTAATAATACTTTTGGATGATTTCTTTACAAACGGCACAAAGCTAATGACATATAATGATATATATACATGCTCTTGAGTTAATTAAAATGATACATGGCAACAAATGAATTCTTGTGATTCCTGGGTTCATTACTTTGATTTTGATATGAGACCGTCTAAACACTTTAACAGTGTACGATATTTAAAATTCCATAATTGAAATGGACTGACAGAAACTCACATTGGCATCTTTTTCTTCAGTTGTCAATGTTCATATATTAATGCCTCGAGCTAAGAATTTAATACTGGTATAAGTTCTGGATCCGGGAGTGCAGGAAGATACTAGGAGTGCAGGATATAGCTTTTTCCTACTCGGGGACCTATAATAAAGTCCTACTTTAAAATAAATAATCATGATCTTATCTTTACAAACATAGATGACATACACAGTTAGCCTGACCAGACCTAAACATTTTGACAGATAGCTAAAAGATGTCCACCCCAGGTATCTGTCAAATTGTCTGAGTCTGGTGTATACGTAGGGGCCAGAGAACTCTGCTAATAGATGATGTGCATCATTATAGATTCATATGCTGTGCAGATAAAACAATCTTAAAAACAAATAAAAAATGATAATATCATGGTACATGTACTCCTTACTGATGTATGTACATGAGTAATTTAACAAAATTAAATTAGCTTAATTACTAAAATATAATAATCAATATTGTACAAATGCACATCATGTTGTCAGAGACGTATATAACCGGTTACATATGTATCTGATGCTGTGCAACCTGGAAAAGACTTGGCTAGAAATAGAATTTGTTGAAACCAAACTACTGGTAGGCTGAGAAATTACATTTATATGTAAAACTTTTTTTTGCAGTGACCTTGCCAATCCACCGAACACGTCCATCACGTCAAGTAGTAACAGAAGACGTAGCTGGACAGCAGGGTTTTATCCGATTGAGGTTGTTGATGATGACAAGTATAAGGATATGGTAAAGGTTCACTACATAGGTAAATTATAGTCACTAGAATGTTGACAAACTTAATTGTATATATACATTACCATGCATGTGTAATATGTACATGTGTCTTTTTTAAAATGAAAAGTTTAAGCTCAAGGCCACACAGAATAAAGCGATGCAAATGATAAAAATATGTATATATATAATATAGTGCCTATATTTCAATTTTCTTTTAATTTTACATGAAATGAAAAGGTCCTCTTGTTTTTGAAAAAAAAATGCTCTAAACAGTAAATGACCAATTGCTCACAGGATTTTCTTTGCTAATATATTAAAGTATTTGAATAAATATTAGAATTGGTTTTCTGTAGATTTCAGATTTTGTTCAGAAATGCTTTTGATCAGCCAGCTTTAAAATTTAAATTAAAAAGTTCAAATTCCTGGTTTATATAGAAATAACTTAATAAATAACATCCTTGAGTTAAAAACCAATAGGAATGTTTAATATTCTATAATAATAAGGGCCCCACTTGAAAATGGAAGGGACCAACAGCAATAATTCCATGGTGTCCATTCATCTGTCTGTCTGCAGTCTGGACAGGCAGTGGACACACCTTTGTTTTATGGATGTTATATAAATATAAAATTGCTGAGTTTTCACATAGATACACTGTTACACATATATAGATACATGACTTGTCATGTAATTTCATATGCAATATGAGTTTGTATAATTTGTCATTCAATCTCAAGTTCACTGTTTTTAAAAGCAGAACATGTACAGGATGTACAAATACATAGCTATATATATCCATATAGCATACTGACTACTGAAGCACACAGTACAGCCGACCCGCCTCGCCCACCACACCCCACCCCACCCCATGTGTGTGATAAGTTCTATGTACTAGTTTTATTACTATTAAGCCAAAAATATATGTTTACAAA